CCCACATCTGCCCCGCTCTAATTCAGTTGTCACAGAGCAGACATTTACCAGGCAGGATTACCAGACTTCCTGTAAGGGAAATGTGTGCGTAAAAGTATGAATGCATGTAAGTGAATGTGTGTATAAATATATGAATGAGTGGAGGAGATTGGGTGCTGAGGTCAAAACTTAAGAGGATTAGACTACTAGTCTTGTCTCTTTTCCAAGTTACATCAGTAGAAGTACATTCAAAAAATGACATTTGCTGTTTGTTTAAACTGCTTACATAAATTAAGCTGAAACAACACAATTTCTGAGTAACTTTTATGTTCAATTCACTTAAATGTGTAAAAACTGATGAGCTAACTTAATTCCTTCATGTTGTTCTTGCACAAATCACTTATGTAGAACCCTGCATTTTTTACAGTACAGTAAAAACAATCCCATTGTTGCATATTATGTCTAACAAAAACTACCAACAAAAATACTTTTATGTGTAGGAATAGGAAATATGTGCTTGTTCATTGTCACCCACATAGCAAAATATCTCTGGCCTAACTCTGGCTCACACAATCAGCTTTTACTTGGCCCACATGCCGTAGTGAATTACGGTACATGACTGGAACAAGTCTGGCTTTTAGACAAAGGCCAAACATGGACCATATCTTGGCCAAGTCTCAGGCAAGTTAATAATCCATAACTGGGCCTGAACTGGGCCATATATATTGGTGTGTCACGACTGCAATAAAATTGATAAACCCATAAAGCATTGCTCAAGATTTCAAATGTGGGTCAATTATTAACATCTGGCCCAAATACTACATTTTACATTTGGCCCAAGTATTGTGTGCCGCCTCAAAGACAATGCCACCTCTGCAAAACCAGGGCCATGTTTGGCCCACATGCTGTGTGCCAGATGTTTATAGACTGCTGTGCAGATTTGATCCTTTGGAGTTCGTCTGTCAGCAGTGATGGAAAGAGTACTAAAAAAAATCCAACGCAATCTCACGGCAGTTCGTAACTTTTTGATTTAGTGGCCAATTCGTTTGAAATTCATACAATTTACTACGATTTGCTCATCACCCAATGATGGTTAGGGGTGGGGTGCCACGCCTCCTTTTTAAAATCATACATTTTTGTACGACTAAATTCGTACGAATTCGTACAAATTAGTTCTACACTAACAAAATGTAAAATACTTACGGTTCCTCGTGAGATCAGGCAGAAAAAATCATACTCAAGTAAAACTACCATTACTCAAAAATGTAGTTTAAGTAGAGTAAGCCCTTCTAAAAGTACTCAAGAGTAGTAAGTATTATGCTGGTGAAATCATTTCTCCTTATAGTCTTCGGTTTAAAAATGTAGCCTAAATTAGTGCCATTTTATTTTAAAGGGATAGTTGACCCAAAAATATATGTATATTTTTATTATTTACTCATTCATAATTGGTTTCAAATCTACTGGTTTCTTTTTTATGTTGAACACAAAAGATATTTTGAAGAAACCTGGAAACCTGTAACCATTGACTTCCATACACTGAAAAAAAAAGTGATTATTAAACTGAATGAACCAATTGCTTTAAAAGAAACAAGTTGACTTTAGAAAAATAATGTAAGTAAAGTCATTGTAACTTGAAACTGTTAAGTTGTCTTAATTTGTATAATTATGCAAATTGTGTTCACTTTGTTTTAAATAAAAGTGATCACTTTTTTCCAATACACATTTATAACACTTGTTTTTTTCCAGCTTTTCTGTATCTAGCAAAATGAGAGTGACGAAAATTAATCTGCTTTTCCAGACACCAGTGTGTCTTCTAAATTCAATACAGGCTATAATTGTAGATTTTATAGACTTAATGAAGCATCAAATATGTAATATTATAATAATTGCAGTAATTATTTGGAAAAAAAAGGCTAAAATAATCTGACACTGTCAAAAAGGATTAGTTGACTTTAAAAAGTGAGTACAATTTGCATAATTACAAAAATTAAGTCAGCTTAACAGTTTCAAGTTACAATGGGATTACTTACATTATATTTGTAAAGTCAACTTGTTTCTTTTAAGGCAATTGGTTTGCTCCCTTTAAGTAACTAATCACTTTTTTACAGTGTACTAGGAAAACATACTGTACTGTACTGTATGGAAGTCAGTGGTCACAGGTTTTTATCTTTCTTCAAAATATCTTCTTTTGTGTTCAAAAGTCAAACAGGTGTGAAACAAATAAAGGGAAAGTAAATGATAGCAGTAAATTCCAGTTATATTATTTGCTATACAAATTTAAAATGTGAGGTTAATTAAACCTGAGAACCAGCGCATTAATATATTCATCTATAAAAAGCCAACAGAATGTAAGCTGATGAGTTAATGTGCAGAGCAAAATCTGTGTAAACTGAAAATCTAAAAAATGGAGCACAAAAATTCAGCTTTGACCATATGTTAACATACATATATACTGTGAACCATGATTAACAAGTGTCCAGTAATTGTCGCTGCAAACCAAGCTTGTGCAGGACTGATAGAATACATGCAATTTGTGGATGATTGGACAATCTGGTGTCATGATTGTGTCAATGCTGTTTACATGATTGTGTCAAAGTACATTTGAAGGATTATCTGTTCATTCGACAGCCATATGTGCAACATCTCAGGGTGCATTCGGTCATATAAGACCAACTCAGTTTATATAGATCATTTTGAGGGATGTAAACAATAACAATGGTCCTAACGTATGTCCTATTTTACATTTTTTATTTCCATAGCTTCTGAGAATCCAAAAAGGTCCATGTATTGATAAATAATGTTATGACAGCTGTTTTAACATTAAGATGTGATTGAATTGGCTACAGTTTTGAAATAGTTTGATAACAAGCAGGAAATTTTCATGGGCCAGTGACATCCCAGTACTGAAATGGTCTTTAAGGTATTTCATATCATTAATCAAAAATATTGCCATCAAATAAGTCAAATAACATTTACACAAGTGATATTTTAGAGTGACTTTACCAGCGTGCGATTGGCTCTTATATTTAGGAGGCGGGACCTATTCCACCATATTGTGCGCATTGCACTTTTCTGCTTTAGTCTTTGCCATTAACATGCAATCATAACACTATACCTTGTTTTATAGTATCAAATAACTTAAATCAAATGTATGACCTATACTACATGTTACTATTATTAATGTTTTTAATTGATTTGATGTATTTCAAAAATGCTGTTCCACTTGGACTGTAGTTAGTGATATAACAGTGGTAGTAATTGTTTTTAAAAAGCTACCTGAAAAGTATCTGACTGTCAAAAATGCTCAGTGGCATCTAAAATATGGGTTATTTTTGTTTAAGTGTGATGTTTAGGTTGCAAGCTGTAAGTTGTAATAATAATAATAATAAGAAGAAGAAGAAGAAGAAGAAGAAGAAGAAGAAGAAGAAGAAATTATCTTCATATAAATATAATAATATAGCCAGCAGTCCAGGTGAAATAATTATATATTTAAGTGTTAAGTTTGACCAGTATTTCAGAGATATTTATTATTTTGCATAAGTCTCCATTTCTCTTTTTATTGTTTGCCTTTGCTGTGTGTTTATTTGATTGTGTGTGTGTGTTTTTTTTTTTTTTGTTTTTTTTTTGCAGGTCTGATTCTGCTGTTTTATCTGGCATTCTACATATTCCTGGCTGGATTGTTTACTCTCACCATGTACGTAATGCTGCAGACCCTCGATGACCACAGACCAACATACCAGGACAGACTTTCAACTCCAGGTACACACACACACAAACACACATATGCATATAATATGTGTTCCACTTGATCACTATATTAATTATAACCACAATAAATCTGTTTCTGCACACCTTTTACCATATTTAAATTGCAGTGAAATGACCATTTACTATTTGGGCCATTAATCAACCTCTTTGACTTTCAAAAATATAATAAATGTAAGCAAGCAGACACTCATAGCCGCTGCCTGTTCCTTCTCCTCCTCTCTTTTGTTTATTTGATGTTTTGCAGGGATGATGATCAGACCTAAAGGAGAGCAGCTGGAGATTGCTTATACCACCGAGTACACAGAGACCTGGGAAAGATACGTGCAGGCTCTCAATAACTTCCTCTCACGTGCGTTTATTTAACAACCCTAATGCTGCATGTATTGCACAGTAAATATAGACATTAGGCATTTGATTAAAGCTACGGTATCTAACTTCTGAAAATCTAGTGGTTAATAAATGAAGAGCTTACAGGCAAAAACCTAAAATTTTTCTCCAAAATGAGCATTTTTATCAGGCTCTTGTGTGTATCCCAATTCATCCCAAAGAAAAGAAGTCCTTTTCCTGCACTGTCAGAAAAAATGTGCAAAATTTGTACCTTTAGGGGTACAATGGCTTGTCACTGGGGCAGTACCCTCAAGGGTACACCTGTTGTACCCTTTCACATGGGTACATATTTGTACCCTAGCAGTATGTACCTTAATGGGTCAAATATGTACCTCTGCTGACTAATTTGTACCTTACTTGGGCTATGGTGCAAAAATGTACCTTTAAAAAAGGTACAATTTTTCCTCCATAGGGATGAATTTTGTACCCTTTCATTTCAGACTTGTACTCCATAAACAACACATTAAATTTCATTTATCACATTTATTAAACATTAAATATCAACATTTTTACAGGATGAATGTTTAAACATTACATCATTTTAAAATAATAAAAAGCAATATTTTTCCATGAGTACAAACTGGTACAAACTGCACGATAATTGTACTTTTATACTTGTAACATTTTATCACAAACACTCATTGAAAGATTCAAAAAAATTACATTCTCACCTTTTTAGAGGATGAAAGTTTTAAACTATCACAATGTCCTACCAGATGCATAAACTTAAAAAATAGCTGCTTAAACATTTTAAAACATTTTATGAAACAGCAAAAAAGCTTAATATTATTTTTTAACACCAGTACATCCCATTTCACTGAGCATTTTTACCAATGTAACAAAGTAATCTTTCTAAAACAGCACTAGACCTCATGAAGTATATTTTTGTTAGTGCACTGCATTCTACATTTTTCTAAAAGCATCAAGAATCTCAAAGCAATCTTTTTCCATACAGTAAATTGAAACATGTCACTTACTGTATACCCTTAATCATTTTAGATCTCAAAAACACATTTGATCAAACAGTATTACACATTTGATTTAAATTTCTAAACATTCTTAAACAGTTTATCAGCAGAGTATGTTTCAAGAGCCTGAAAGTCCATCTGTCTTGGTTTATAACACCCCATTCAAAGTCAACTCCTAGTGTATTTGCATGGAAATATGAATCATACAACAGCAGTATTATAAACTTGCCACACAGAAACCAGTGCAGTATTGACATTTAAAATGTATTTCATTAGGAAGGAGTCATTTCTTCTCCATTAGCAGTCTCACATGCTCACAAAAACAGTTCAATTTGAACACCTGAATGTGTCAATCTCATCAAAGATGTTGGGCGGAAAAAATTCTTAGCATTGTGTCATCTTGTGCTTCTCAGTTGATTTGGGCAATGTTATTGAAATGTCAATAGCTGCTAGTCTTAAAATACTGATGCAGACTCGAAACGCATGCAAAAAAGTAAATGCAAAGATCCAAGCATTGCTGTTTGATGCAGACCCAGCAAAACCAGTTCTCTCGGACAGCTGCACTGATTTGTTTTTCTTGTAATTTTGGATCACCATCTTCACACCATTGCTGATGTTTAAATTTAAATTGTTGTTCCATCTCAGGGAGTTGCTGATGTTCATCCTTTGCATTCTTTATGTAGCGTGGATAAGCCAAGTTGAAAACACAGTAAACGGCGAAGGATGTAATAATGCATTTTAACTCCTATTGTCCAACAGTTTGCAAAGGACTTTTAACCATCTGTAGAGGTGGGTAGGGAGCATCATCATCATCCCACTGTGAAAAGAAAAAGAAAAAAGACATCAATAAACAATGTAAAATCTGTCAGAACTGCATAACATCTATCAGAGTATTACAAAGTGTTTAACCAACAGTACCCAAACCTCTTCCAGTGTAATTACTGTAAGCAATCAACTTTCTCTTTAAAGATATGGGGGAGCAGAATAAGAGCAGCACGAAAGTCTGAATCTATTGTAAAATAAAATCATCCATTTATTTATTTTATTTTTGGCTTAGTCCCTTTATTAATCTGGGGTCGCCACAGTGGAATGAACCGCCAACCTATCTAGCACGCGTTTTACGCAGCGGATGCCCTTCTAGCTGCAACCCATCACTGGAAAACACCCATACACACTTATTCACACACATACATATGGCCAATTTAGTTTACCCAATTCACCTGTAGCAGGTCTTTGGACTTGTTGGACTTGGACTTGTGGAGGAAACCGGAGCACCTGGAGGAAACCCACATCAACATGGGGAGAACATGCAAACTCCACACAGAAATGCCAACTGACCCAGCCGAGTCACGAAAAAGCAACCTTCTTGATGTGAGGCGATCGTGCTACCCACTGCACCACCTTAAAATAAAATAAAGACAAAAAATTAACAAAGTACTCTTAAATAATTTAATAATATAAAAGGACCCGTTTTTAAAATAAAGAAAAAAATATTGGAACGTTTAGCAAATGCTGAATAAAAGATACTTAATGTATTTTTATGAATTACATTTTAAAGAAAAACATTGAGAAATGTTCTCTATATAAAGGGTTTGTATATAAGGCATATGAGTTTGAACTTTCTAAATGCAGCTTGAAAAGGCACTTAATGATCCCATCCAAGAAATAAAGGTTTGATCTGCAAAATTACTATTATGCAAGTTTTATGTTAATACCTGTTAGATCATCTGCAAACTTCTATTCTCCTGCTTTTTTGTAGACTTTGGCCAGTGGAGATGCTTTTTTTCTTAATCAAGCTCAGGCACCTTTAGCACAAGCTGCCCTTGAAGCTCTGACTTGGTTGGAGATGGTTGATGAATGCATTCAGTCAGGTTCACCATGACTATAATAAACAAAAAGGAAATTAGTGATTCACTTTAAATAAAAACTATATCTAACATTGTTTGTTGCCATTTCCCTTTAGTTATCACTGTACAAATAGTTGTAAGCTTGAATGCACATATGTGTTCGCCACAAAGCTTGAAAATTTTAATATTTTTACAATAGTCATAACATTTATAATAGTCATTTGATCCTACACTTTGGCTTATACTGACATTAAACATTTAATTTAAACTGAGAACTGATTTAAAATGTGGGATCTCACTGACAAGGGTGTTTTTAATAAAGGGTCACACACCTTATTTCACTGGATACGCAGGACATTCGCATTACCCTCAAAAGATGATGCATCCTCACCAATTGCAGGAATCACCTATTGGATCAAATATAAGTCAAAAATACTGACAATCATAAAAATTCAAATTTAACTTTAACACTTCACTTTACAGTTCATAGAAAAAGGGAGATTAAATTTAAGACTGCACAATGAATTCCTAGGGGAAAAGTATATACACACACACACATATATATATATATATATATATATATATATATATATATATATATATATATATATAAATAAAATTATTAACAAACAGATGAAAGACAAAATACTAAATACTTACGTTATTACACTACTGCTTCCTCGTCCACTTCATTTTCTGAAATAAAAAAAAATCATGATCGGTGTGAACTTGAGGTTAACAGCAAACAAAAAAAAGCTTTAAATTAGCAACTCAAAGGTTTGATAAAGACCTGCACCTCGATCTGACACGACAGATGATTATGACTCTCTTGAACATGCGTTTATAACGTTATTTAAATATGTAACGTTACAAAATACAACTGCTATAAATGAACGTGGGTCGAGATATGCATAAACTAAAGTTATATTGTTTCAGACATAAAGGGGACAGGCATTAACTTCACTCCTGTCCTGATTAAACATGAACGTTAGCATGAACGTTAACGTTAGCTTCCCAACACTGAGAAAATTCTGAATTTATAAATAACGTATGCAATAAAGGCTTAACAACATTATCCAAACAAAACGAAATGTGTTTGAACTGTTTCTCTGGACGTTTCACCGCTGTTTTTTCAGCGTCTCGAGCTCTGTCTCATGGCCAGGTTATGTAAAAAATCATATTTTTATTTCTGGTCAACCTTAAATTACAAAAGGGTTCCCTCACGCGGCAGGTAACTCGACGGTAATCATAACAAAGTTACATACACAAGGCAAAGTAACGTCAATTATGAATTGAATACGACCCAACGGATATTTACAATAAGTTATTTAACATTAAACGTACCTGCAAATGTCTGTGCTTCGTCTTCACGAGCGTATTCCAGCTTCTTTGCGTCCTTCAGGTCCATCCTCCATCGGCGGCGAGAAGAGCGTCAGAACAGTGCAACAGCTGGAGATTAACCGTCGCACGTAATCAGCTCGCATTATGAATGCACGGCGCGGGCAAAATCCTATTGGACAACACGAATTCAAATCTGCTAGCTGCCTGCTAATGCTAAGCGAAAGTCAATGGACAATCCCCGCTTTGCAGACCCGCAAGTTTAAAAAAATATCATCTAATGTGTCACAAAATGTAGTTTTAAGAGTATTTCAGGCGAGAATGTAGTTATTTTAAACTCGAATCGGCAGTTTATTTAAAAAGACAGCGCTTCTTTGACAACGTGCTTCAGTGAAAGCGGACTCTGTCAGCGGGAGTTTTATGATTCTCTCCCCCGCCGACAGCAGCATTTACTTCGGCCAGTCAATCTCGGATCTGCCGCTGGATTTAATCTTCCCCTTGTAGTTAAAACATTATATTTAATACATGTTGTGTATATCTAACGGCCAGCTTTTGGTCTTATAAATCTATTATTTGTTCTCAGCTGTATTATTTTGGCAGTATTATTCTGTTACGTTTTATAATTGTTTTATTAATTAATTTATTTATTATTGCTACAATGTTGTACTCTGTCTTTGTTTACCAACTGGTTACCTTTAATTCCTATTGTATACATCTACTTTATACTTGTATGTCCATTCTAGTAGTTTATTAAATCTGATAATCAAAGAAAGTCTGTGTATAATAAGCCATTTCACTTTACATTTAGGGGGATTTATGTTAACATTTTCTTAAATCAAAAATATTAATTTATAATATTTATAAGGCCATGTTTATATAATTAAATAATTAAATTTATAATGTACAGTTTTTTGTGCATTTCTTCCAAATAACCAACAACTCATGACATAAATGAAGGACCATTTCATACACGTTGACTTGCTCATTTTTCACACAAGTGATTGTACCTTTCTTTGGGCCTTAAATGGCCCAAACATGGACCCTTTGACAGTTGGGAACATATTTGTACCATTTTTACCCTTAAATGGTACATATAAGTATCTTAGGGTGCTACTTTGAACCCTTGAGGGTACAACTTCACCATTTGTACCCCAAGTGTTCACAAATGTACCCCAACCGTACCCTTTTTTCTGACAGTGTGGTCTTTAAAGTAAAATATTTCAACATAAACAAAACAAGCTGAGAAAGTTTTTTATTTTTGATGGAAATTTCAGATGGTTTTTGCATCTGAACTCTTCGAATATAAATATGCTTCTTGCTAATTCTGTTATATGAAGAGTCAAGCATGATCTGAGCTCCTTGGATCCAACAGATCTTAAAAATACTCTAAATTTAGACACTTAATATAGGCTCACCGTAAACTGAAACACATGAAGCTTTGGAAGATGGACTGAGGATGTACTCATGTTTGTCGATTTGAAATGATTGTGTAGCAGAAGTTTGCACAAAGTCATGTCCTGTTGTTTCTTTTGTGCAGCCTACAACGACACAGTCCAGACACAGAAGAACTATGAGTGTAAACCGGATCAGTTTTTCATCCAGGAGGACAGCGGCGGTTTGAAGAACTTTCCCAAACGTTCCTGCCAGTTCAAGCGCTCTATACTGGAGAAATGCTCAGGGATCACGGATCGCTTCTATGGTTACGATGAAGGCAAACCCTGCATCATCATCAAGCTCAACCGTGTAAGATGAGAAACACCATAGAGACTCAGAAACATATCAATCTATATCCGAAAAGTTAAAAGGGTTGGGTATATTTAGAGTTTTCAGTCACAGGGATGGAGTGAACAACTGGAGGGCAAAACGTTCACAGGATTGTCATAAAATCCAGTGACGTTTCGATTTGTTTAAAGCTACAGATATTTATATTACTCTACAAAAATATTGAAACAAAGAAACGTGAACAGACAGAAGGTTTTGGCTACTTGTGAGCCATCTAGAGAGCCAGTATTTCAATCACTAGAAACTGAGACATTCAAAAGCACTTAAAAGTGACATTCAATTCATTTCATCTTTAGCGCTTTTACAATGTAGATTGTGTCAAAGCAGCTTAACATAGAAGTTCTAGTAAATTGAAACTGTCAGTCCAGTTTTTAGAGTTGAAGTTCAGTTTAGTTCAGTTCAGTGTGGTTTAAACACTGAAGAGCAAGTCTATTGATGCGAAGCTCCACGAGTCCAAGCATTGCTTAATGTATTAAGACATTATCATGTTAAATATTAAATTTAATACACTTCTTACGGATGAAGCATACAGGCAAACAGATGAACCCACAATATTTTTATGGTCTTTGTGAACAGGAAGTTGCTGGATTTTTATTTCAGTATGATGATGTATTTTTTACTGAAATGGAATATTGAGTTGGGGGCAGGGTTTTACTTACAGTAAACCAATAGTTAGAGGGTTGTGGCTAAGCATATTTCGCCCAAGCTGTCATCAGAGAAGGACAGCCATTCCAGAGTGCAAACAAAGGATGAATTTTGATTACAGATTACCAACAGTCAGTTGCCGGCAGTTAGCTCTCTGCAACTCTCACATGGTCGCCCACTGAAACTAAGCAGGGCTGCGCCCGGTCAGTACCTAGATAGGAGACCACATGGGAAAGCTAGGTTGCTGCCGGAAGTGGTGTTAGTGAGGCCAGCAGGGGGTGCTCAACCTGTGGTCTGTGTGGGTCCTAATGCCCCAGTTTAGTGACAGGGACTCTATACTGCTTATTGAGCGCTGTCTTTCGGATAAGACGTTAAACCGAGGTCCTGACTCTCTGTGGTCCTTAAAAGTCCCAGGATGTCCTTTGAAAAAGAGTAAGGGTTTTACCCCAGCATCCTGGCCAAATCTGCCCACTGGCCTCTGTCCATTATGGCCTCCTAACCATCCCCATATCATAATTGGCAAATCATCACTCTTTCTCCCCTCCACCAATCGGCTGGTGTGTGTTGTGCAGTCTAGCCACTGCATTAATAAGCTCAACAGAAACATACGTGATTGCTTATTAATGCAAAGAAAAAAAATAAAGTGCAAAAATAAA